CCCATTCCCATACCTAGCATCATGGCTGTTGGAGATGTTGTAACGTATGTAACAACCTGTTTCACATGAATACATAGTTATACTTGTGAGCTCCTTATAATTTTCAAATTCGTTATTCAAATATTTGTCAGATAAAATTAAATCTTTTACCATAACATGTTTTTATGTAATTAAAGATGATTAAAATAGTTAAAATAATATTGAAAGATGAAAGTCATTTTCAATTAAAGAAACTAATTCATTAATTAATTAATTAATAAAATAATAAGCATGATTTTGAATGGTGAAGTAAACCCTAGTGTGGACCACGGTTAGCATGTGACTGGCAGTGGAATCCTCCCCACCCTTTACGCTGTTAACTCATTTTTTGAGACCTTTAATTCCAATTTTTCTTCTTTATTTAATATTATTATATTATTAATTTAAGACATTATTATTAAATTAACTTGGTTAATCACAAATTAGAGAGATATGATGCCCATGTGAAGGATGACGGTGACAAAAACCTTGGTTATCGTACATTGTCCTTTCAGTATCGTCTTTTTTATTAGTCATTTTCAACTATTAAACATACAAAATACACACACATATACATATACATACATATATATATATATATGAAGTTGCGTATACGATATATTTACAGGCGTTAAATCATGGGTTTTCGGGGTTTTTTTGTATTCATGTATGTATTTTGTGTTGATCAAATGATTTAGAGATTGGAGAAACCAAAAAGGATTCAACTTTACAATATTTGTCGTTTACTAACCCATGAGTGTTCGTTGAAGTTTCTTGTATTGTCAATTGTCATGAACCCATCTCAAGAAAAGATTATATAATATGTATAATAGTTTTGACTGTAATACATAATAAATATTTGTGGAACATTTAACCACAAGGGTGATGCCTGATTGGTTTGAACTTGGCTCTAAAGGTCAAAAGTAACAGGAGGTCTTAGGTTCAAATTCAATGGAGAATAAAAATCCCCTTGTACCCACGGAGGTTCAAATGCGGTGACTCCAGATTATATCCAGATTAATCAATATATATATATATATATATATATATATATATATATATATTTGTGTAACACACGTTCAAAAAGAAAATGACTTTTTTCAGGAAATAAAGTACTAGATTTTATTGGAAAATTAAAGAGATATAAAATACAACGATTTATATTTGAGTCCACACCAGACTAACTTAAGACCAAATGATAATCATTGATCATTTATGTAGAATTTTTTAATTTAAAAAAAAAGTTTAATCATTCTTCCATCTAATAATTCATCTAAAACTCAACCAAATCCACCTCAATTTCATTGGCAAACCTAATCATTGTTAGTTATCTCTAAGATTTCACATCGGTTGGGGAGGAAACTAAAGATATCTTATAAGAAACTGGATGCCTATTCTATCATACGCTTTTTAAAATCGTGAGTTCAGGTATGGACAAAGCAGACAACATCTAATATGGTTGACTCAGGATGTTACAGATGGTATCAGAGCCGAGAACCGGACTAGTGTGCTAGCGAGGATGTTAGGCTCCCAAGGAGGGTGGATTGTAAGATTCCACATTGGTTGGGGATGGAACTAAGGTTGTCTTATAAGAAATTGGATAACTCCTCTATGAGACATATTTTAAAATTGTGAGTCTAGATGTGAACAAAACAGACAATATCTAGTATGGTTGACCCGGGATGCTATTATTTTATATAAACTCTTAGGCTTTTAAGTTATCATAAAACCAAATAATAGTTCGTGATCTTTTTTTAAAATAATTAATAACGTACTCAATTGAATAAGAAATGAAAGTATTAACTCAAGAAGTCATCTATTGCAGATAAAACGTTTTCTTTTCCATATCTAACAGAAGGAACAAACCACAAACCTCATGTTTCGTTTTTTTTTCATATTTTGACTCTTCCTCTTACTCTTTTGTCGGGATTCCTTCTCTTTAAAACCGAAGTAAAGAGCTCTTACAGAGTGAACGTATACGTCTAATTTTGTTTATTTATCAAATACTAGTAACGTACCCGTAAATCATTTCGATTTAATACAATCTTTTATAAAATAGATTATGCTCCTACGGAAGTATCTACTCGTTACGGAATCTCAGGTGTCAAAGTGTGGATCATTATGAACATAAAGTCTCAAGGTATGGAAACCCGAAAAGAGGCTGGCTCGAAAGCAAGAAGCAACGACTTTCGTGCTTGTTGGAGCTATATTTTCATATGGGCTTGGGCCAACCCAAAGATGTGGAGTGAAGAATGATATTGACTTGGTTTTTTAAGCATTAGCAATCACTCAGCCCAGGCCCAACTTCAATTTGGGCTAACTCACAACCATCATTTTAACTTGTTTCAAATTCACCAATACTTTTTGCATTAAGAAAAATCATTAGAGTTATCTATATTATATTATAAATTATTTGACAAAATTTCTTAAAAATTATCTTTTATATGTGAAGTACTCTGTTTATTGATGCATATTACTTAAAAATCAAGATTACAAGTACATTGTACGTAAGTATAACTTATTAAAGCTCTATATTCGAATTTATGTAACTAACTGTAAATAAACATAATCAAATACAAGATAAACATTTCATTTTAAATATAAAAAATTTAAAATATAATTAGGATAATTATTGAGTTTTAACAAAATATTTAATCATTATCTTTATAAAAAATTATACTGTTAAACCTAAATTAAATTACTTCGTTAATAAACCTAAATTAAATTAAATAAAAAATTTGAATGAAAGAAATTACACAAAAAAAAAACAAGAACTTTTAAATAGTTAATTTGATATTAATATAGGCATATCTTTTTTTCAAATTTTTATGTTAATTTTTCAACCAGCCATAACCTCCATTGTCTGGTTCTTTATAAATAAGTTGGAAATAATTTATTTGTTTTTTATTATTTTTTATAAAAGCCAAATTTTATTGATTATATCGCTTCTACAAATAACACTTCATATTGATTCATATCAACAATAAGTACTTTTGAGCCTAAAAAATAGTTGTCTAATAAATTTCTAAATTTGTACCCAAACTCGTACAATTGTCAAATGAATTTCTAAATTTGCACCTTATTCCTAATTGGCAAAATTCTTTTTACAGGACTCTTCCTTATTTAGAACAGACCAGGTGATGTCTTGTGGGTAATAGATTCAGATTTTTCTTTACAGTAAATTACGAAAAACCTGTGAGGTCATCTTCATGTAAGTCGTTATAAGATGAATTCTATTCATACCTCATCCTATAAGGGGTATGTGGGTGAGGTACAGAGTAAGAGGTAACATGATATCTGGGTAAAAAAAGGGTATGAATAATAACCCCTGTTAAAATCTTATAAAATTAGCTTAAATATTCTTATATTTAAATCTCATTCGAATATTGTTTACTAAACTATTATAAATAGATCAATAAACATATATGGATTATGCGTTCCAAATGTATATAAGCTTTTGAGGGGTGAATGCAATAATTGCAGAAGCTCAAGAATGATGATCCTTTTCTTTATGCAATTGAAAATCTGTTGGGGCCAAAGAATGGTATCATGAACCATAAAGGATTAAAGGTTTAAGACACAGACAAGAGGTCCACCTGTGGTTGCACTTGCACTTGTTTTTAAAGATTGTTGCATGATTGTCCAGACCCCTTATTTTTTTTTCTACAATTATTTAAGCATTTTCCTCTAACGTTACAAGTTTTTAAACAGATATATCATCACGACAACTAAATAAACAGATTGGTCCAAACTGCATAACAACTGAACCATTCTATATGCATACGTTATCTACCGAAAGAAATCCCAACCATTTAACAGATTGGATTGTCGGTAAACTACTTTAAAAGCATCAAAAAGTAGGTCTTACATTACGTACGTGAATTGAAAATTCTTAGTTAATGGGAGATGGGAGTGTATTGATGGTAAAATGGTTATATAATGTGGAATTGAAACATGGGATTAATGAAAAGAAAATGTAGTTTTTATAGGAATGTTGCATGTTAAGAGAATAATGTTATCATGATCTTGAACATCGATTTCATTCCCACTTGCCAAATTGCTACAACATTTTTTAATGTGACAAAGTGGGTATTACTATTTTTTTTATAGGCTAAAGCACTTTCGTTGTGAACTGAAAGACAAACGAAAGCACGACACGTGTTTTCACCTCTCTATATTCATCATGAATAATGAACGTGGATTTTTACAACATTCATGATGAATGATACACAATTCATGTTAAATATCCCGTCTTCTTGTTTTACTCTAGTTCACAATTGAAGTTAAGTTTGCAACTGAACCTACCTCTACATAGACATATACATATACATATACATATACATATACATATACATATACATATACATGTTTTTCGGATTTTCCTATGCACTATAACAATAAACATATTCTGATCTATAAAATAAGCATATACCCTATGTCTATTATCATCTCATCATATACCAATGCACTTTTTGTTGTCTTATTTTAATTGGACGTTTTAAATAAGTCTAAGAAATTCTTTAACTCAAATTCATTTCGTTACTTTATATTTACTGTAACTACTCATCTTACATAAATGGAAAATGGGATTTGTAAGTTACTTATAAGTCTTAAGTTGTGGACTGCCAATAACTTTCACTATGGTTTTAAGTTGGACTCGAAGTTATTTGGCTAACTTCTTGTTTTGAACTTTCGGGTCTTACATTTACTACGACACATACATGAGAATCGAAGAAGATTAGAAGAAATGACAGCTTTTTATTTCTTTATACGTTATTTTATTGCTACAAAATCAGAGTTCTTACAAAAAGAACATCCGTTACGCGAAAATAAACCATCAAATTTATCACATTTCTCATATTCGTACATTCTTATTACGATGGTCACATGTTTCCGTCACATTTTTACAAAAAAAAAAATCAAAAAGTTAAATCATATGTTTTAAAGAAGTTTATTGACATCACGAAACCCATGCACCCAATCTTTCTATATATTTGTTATTAATAGCTTTCATTGACATAAATCTTACACTTTCCAACTCCAAATACCATAAAAAATGGAAGAAGAAATCCCCCACCGGCGGCCAGAAAAACTCCTCGGAGCGGCTTTCTCCGAGCTGAAAACGCAGCAAGCGATTGCTTTTCCATTGGTGGCAATGAACCTAACGTGGTTTGCAAAGATAGCCATCACGACAGCGTTTCTTGGTCGACTGGGTGAGCTCGAGTTAGCCAGCGGTACGCTTGGGTTCATGTTTGCAAATGTGACCGGTTTCTCGGTCTTGAACGGTCTATGTGGTGCCATGGAACCCATTTGTGGTCAAGCCTACGGAGCCAAGAACTTCAAGCTCCTCCACAAGACACTAGCCATGATGGTCTCTTTGCTGCTATTAACATCACTCTGTATTTGCTTCTTGTGGCTAAATGTTGATACAATTCTCGTTTATTTTGGCCAACAAGAAGATATTTGTATTGAAGCAAAGAGGTATCTTTTTTATCTCCTACCAGATTTGATGATCACCTCCTTCTTGTGTCCTCTGAAATCCTACTTGAGTTCACAGAGCATAACAGTTCCGATCATGTTAACCTCGGCTCTGGCAGTGGTTCTTCATGTCCCGGTTAACATTTTCCTCACAAAAACCCGAGGCTTCGAAGGGGTGTCGATGGCCATTTGGATCACCGATCTTGTGGTTGTCGTTCTGCTTGTGATCTATGTAATGGTGACGGAGTTCAGAAAGGGTGGAAAATGGAAAGAAGGTGGGTGGACGAGCCAAGGGATTGAAGACTGGATCCAATTACTGAAACTTTGTGGGCCGTGTTGCCTCACGACATGCCTCGAATGGTGGTGCTACGAAATCTTGGTGTTACTAACCGGGAAGCTCCCAAATGCTAAACAAGCGGTTGGGGTGATCGCGATTGTTCTAAACTTTGACTACTTGCTTTACTCTGTAATGCTTTCATTGGCCACTTGTGCGTCTATTCGTGTTTCCAACGAGCTCGGTGCGAACCAGGCGGGACCTGCGTACAGATCGGCGTACACCTCATTGGCGTTGAGCTCGGTTGCAGGTTTAGCTGGTGGGCTAGTCATGGTGTTGGCTAGAGGCAAGTGGGGTGCTCTGTTTAGCCATGATAAAGGGATTGTGAAGGGTGCGAAAAACGCCATGCTGTGGATGTCTTTAGTGGAGGTGGTTAATTTCCCATTGGCGGTTTGTGGCGGCATCGTAAGGGGAACCGCCAGGCCTTGGTTGGCAATGTACGCAAACCTTGGAGGGTTCTACCTGTTAGCATTGCCTTTAGGCGTAAATTTAGCTTTTAAGGTTCATATGGGACTCAAAGGACTACTAATAGGGTTCTTAGTCGGGATGGTCGGTTGTTTAGTTTTGTTATCGATGTTCGTTTCGAGAATTAATTGGGCTGAAGAAGCCGAAAAAGCACAAAGGCTTGTTGTCGAAGATGCAGGCGGCAAGATATCAGCCACTGCTGAAAACATGGCCACAGAATGAGCAAAATGTAACAAATTTAAACAAGATTGTATATAAACCAATAGATTAGGCCCTTTACAAGCCTTTGTTTATTGGAATTTTCCTGCATTTTTGCATAACAGTAAGCAGACGGCCGAATAATCTTCAAATCAACTTAAAATCACAGTAAAAGTTAGGGCCTATTTATCAGCAGCTTCATGAGCTTAATGGGATTTGTAGCTTATTCAGTCAGCTATACATGACTCTTTGGTAGTGGCTTAAAGATATAGAAAGTGGTTTATTCAGTCAGTTATACATGACTCTTTGGTAGTGGCTTAATGATATAGAAAGTCGGTAAACTATAGATGATTTGTAGCTCATTCAATAAGCTTCTAGGAGGAAGCTTTTTACAGAAAGCCAGCTCCTCCAATTAAAAAACACGCACCTTCCATCTATTAAAGAACCCTTTCAAACAAAGACCTTCCCAATCCATGTAGACAGATTAATCCACACAGACAGCTTTATCCATACAGGACTTAATGGAAAACCAACCAAAGAAGATTAGAGTTTATAATTAAGCTCACAAATCTCTGGGTATATTTTCAATCTAAACACCTATCAAGATAGATCCAAAGGCAGGACATGATTGTGCATGATAAATAGGATAGCATTAACATTAGATATATGTTTCAAAGAAAGCATTAACATAAGATATGCATAAAAGTGGGCCCACATAGATGGATCATTAATGCAGTGACTAGGAAGAACAATTATGTGGGTAAGAATGATTCCAGATTTTATAAAAACTATGATTCCACTACACTATACCCTTTAAGTGATGGCTTTTAGAAGGAACTCTTATCATCAAAAGAATCCAAATTGGTTTTTAAATTCCAAAAAATTACCAATTTACCTTTAATGAGGAATATTTGATATTTTAGAAAAGAATTAGGTTTTATTTTGAGGCTAGATTGATAAAATATAAGTCTGTTCCACCTTGTTCCATGGGGTGGGGGTGGGGGTGGAACACGCCTCTTCCACTTTGTTTTACTTTGTTCATGTTTGTTCCAGATAAAACTCCTGTCAGATATGGAACAATGATCCCTGTTCCATTTTGTCATTTCTTGTCCAGTGTACCAAATGCACCCATAAATATCCCATGGCAGAAAACCCAAGAAACTAGTTTTGGTGTCGGTTATTTACAGTTCTACTACAAAAACATGTTAATGAACTGGCAAAGGGAGTGAGAATCGGATGCTAAGTTTGATTGTACACTTTTCAAGAATGGTAAAAAAAAGATTATCACAACTTGAACGACATTTACCGGATTAAAAAATGGCGATTCATTTGATAACAATGCATGTTGATGAAGTTGTTACTCTTCAACAAAACCAGGTTTAGAAATTACAGAGCGGAGTTCTTCGGCTTTTTCGTCGTTGAAGCCGAGAGTAGCCATTATTTTGTGTCCTGCTGCTTCCTCTTCCAACCACACTCCAAGAAGAAGGTGAGATGTTGTAATTTCTCCATCATCGCCTAAATTTTTAGCATATAGTTCAAAGAAAGATTAATTCTCTTTTTTGATGATAAAGAAACTACAAACACAAAAAGGTCAAAGATCTCGTAACGATTTGTGATCATGTAAAAACAATGAGCTGCGTGCAAGAAAAGGAAAATGGCACGAAGCCATACGCCTCCTTTAAAAGTAACCCTCGTGCACCAAAAATCCTCGGTTTCACATCTTGCAAGGATTCAAGAGGGAAGTTTTAGCAAACAACATTTCTGTTCCACTTTGGCATTTCCGAGGACATAACCTCTTATAGGAGCTCTTGGAGACAAAGAACTTGGGTAGCAAACCAGGAGCGGGGATGCATAACCGGAGAGGTGGAGAGGGGAGACAGGGTTGATAAGTTAGACTAGGAGTTTTTTTGGTGGGTTTTCCATAAAGAGCTGTTTGGTTGGTTTTCGATCAAGTCTTTTATGGATAAAGTTGTCTTTGTGAATTAATCTGTTTGTATAAATTCGGAAGGTTTATGTTTGAGAATTGGGAGGGATTTTTCATAGATGGAAGGAACATGTTTTTTAAATGTGAAGGGAAGATATGGAAAAATCTTGGCTTTCTACTTAAAGCTCCCACCTGGAAGCTTACTGAATAAGCCACTTTCCATATCATTAGGCTAGTACCAAACAGTCATGTATAGCTGACCGAATAAGTTGCGAGTCTCGATAAGCTCATTTAGGTGCTACTAAACAAGCCCTAAGTCTTGTATAGATAAAGTTGACTGTGTGGATTAATCTGTCTATATGGATTGGAAGGGTTTTTGTTTGGGAGGATATTTTCACAGATAGAAAGAACACGTTTTTTAATTGAGAGGGACAGGTTGGAAAAACTTTGCTTTCTGCATAAAGCTCTCCCCTAGAAGCTTACCGAATAAGCCACTTTCTATATCATCAAGCCATCACTAAACAATCATATATAATTGACCGAATAAGCTGTGAGTCCCATAAAGCTCATTAAGTAGTTAACAAATAGGTAGTTTCCTTAAATTGGCGGTCTTTCTTGTATCCGCTTCTATTTGCATTTACTACTTTATCCTAACCAACTTTTCAAATATTTATCATATCTCTGCTCTTTAAGGTAGAGATCAAGTGTGTGTACATCTTAAATATTGGGTTCGTTTGTTTCGGTTTATTTCCCTTGCATTTTCCAAAGAGAGTTTCCATGATGTTCCTAATTTCTAAAATATTTGCGTGCTGTTCATAAATTGTTCATAAAAAAGTACTTCCAACTCATTCTAGATTCTAAAGTGGACACTTTTTGGACGAAAAGATTAGCAAGATAATACGCAACGCATACAAGGAAAGAACTTTAAGGTGCAAAAGGCGAAAAAGTTGGCAAAAATGTAGAGACTTGCCTGATTTCAGTTTTTCATCAACAGCCCAATCGAGGGCCTTTTGAGCTGATTCAGTCAGAGGTGGATGCTCGGGACTGAAATAAAAATAGTCAGGTTCTCCAATCAATTTGATGGCCTCCTCCCGCACTTTGGAAAGTGTAAACCCATCTGCACGCAGTAGTTTTGAAGCCCGATTTGTTCCTGCAAATAAATAGAGAAAAGAAATTATGAAATTAAATTGCCTTAATGCCCGACCGCTACTAATAAGCAATACTGAATGGGCTTAGATGTCATCTAAACCAATATTTCTGGATTGGTTAGAACTAGACTAAAAATCACAGCCTCCATCAAGTCCAACACAGCCTCCTTCACAGTTCACGACTTCACCTTTGAAGTCTGCCTCTCAAACTCGAAGTCGGACTCATCCTCATCAAGAAACACAAACTTTACTTCTAGCTCGGTGAGTCCCTCTTTAGTTCTTGTTTAGATGACATATAAAGTCATTATCAAGTTCTTGTTTAGTCACTTCACTAAATTGTCAAAATGCTTGCAAAGGCTGTAACCAAGATCACGACAACAGTCAGGAATGCCCGATTCAGGGTCTGCTGTGTGAGACAGTCAATCAGTCAACCCATGATGGGCGACGATATTTTACGGGACAGCATCGAAAATGAAATCTAAAAGAAAGTAATCAGACAGTTTAAAAGAGGAGATTTCATAGGATAATTTCTTTCTACAAGCACATCGAAAACAAGAAAGAAAATCAAGGTAACTGCTTGCTTTGTGGGATATGTACACCTTTTGTTTTAATTTTATAAATTTTGTGGCTAATTAGTTGTAGCGAGAACAAGGTTGTAAAAGGTGGAATCGGGCCTCGAGGCAGTCCAAGGCGTAGCCCTGAGGCAGATATATATGTACACAAAAGTCCAGGGTCCAAGAAGCGCCGCCTCAGGTGCGGTTTTGGGCTGCCTCGCCTCGAGGCGCACCTCGAGGCTTAAGCCTCACACGATTTCTAAAACCATGGCCGAGGACGAAGGAGACTTGATTTTAATTTATACATGATATATTGTTATTTGTCCAAAATCGTTTGCTTAGATGTTGAAACTCGTTTTGACTTATTTGATGTTGAAGGAAGTATCAAAAGGCCTTTGAAATGATGGGTATGCAAGATGTAAGGTACATCAAAAAAGTTCTGCACCTGTGAGTTGAAAACATGTCTTGGATAGCTGATAAAAATGCAGTCTTTGATTAAGTTGATTGGATGCAAATTCAGCCATAGATTAAGGGGTTGTTTGTTTGTTTTTCATTAAGCCTTGTATGGATAAAACTGTTTGTGTAGTAGATTGAGAAGATATTTGTTTGGGAGGGTTTTTTCACGGATGGAATGAGCGTGTTTTTTAAGTGGGAGAGACATGATTGGAAAAACTTTCTGCATAAAGCTCCCCCTAGAAGCTTACTAAATAAGGGGCTGTTTGGTTGGCTTTCCATTAAGTCTTGTATGAATAAAGCTGTCTATGTGGATTAATCAGTGTGTATATATTGAGAAGGTTTTTGTTTAGCAAGGTTTTTCTCAGACGGAAGGAACATGTTTTCTAATTGGAGGGGTAGGTTTGGAAAAAACTTGGCTTTCTGCATAAAGCTCCTCCCTAGGAAGCATACTGAATAAGCCGCTTTCTATATCATTAAGCCACTACCAAACACTCATTTATAGCTGACCAGATACGATGTAAGCCAATTAAAAGCTGCTAACAATCAGGGTCACTTTCTATATCATTAAGCCACTACCAAACAATCACACAGTCGTGTATAGCTGACCGAATAAGTTGAAGCTCATTAACAAACATGCCCTTGTATTAGATGTGCGTATTGAAACTGATATCTAATTATTGAAGTTACAATGATCAGTTTTATAATGTCATACTTAAAAATTAACACAATGTGCATCCGATAAACAAGCATTTCGATTAAAAACCCACAAATCTAAAGGAAAACGGCACTAACCCTCGACCAAAATTCCCATCAGAATAGCTTCAGTACCAGTAGTTGAAAACTTGAGCTTCCTTGCCTCCAATTCACCCATGGCAAAAGACTTTATTCCTTTCAACGACCATCTAAAATAATGTTCATTAGAAACCCTAAGTTTTCGAAGCAAATTTTACAAGAACAATTCCAAGATAAAAACTCACTTGGGAGCATTTTCAATTGAATTAGCGCTCTCTGGATTCCTGCAATAACAAAAAACCCAAATTGATTTCGAATACCCACATCCCAAATTTAACAATTCAATCTTGGATTCATGCAATTGAAATTAAACAAAGAAGAACTTACGCAGTTGGGAGACTGAATGTAACAGTGGCGGCGATGGGTCGGGTCTTGGGTAAACAGGGTTGAAGATTGGAGGATTGAAGAGGTAGTTTGGTAATGGCTAACCATTGACTTTGTAGCTTGTGAGTACGTATCTGGAGATTTTGAGAAAACGGGTCGGGTTTTATGGAATCATGATGGGAACATCGAGTGGAAATAGTTGCAAAGGAAAAGAGTGTGTGAGCAGCCATTTTTGTCCCCTGAGAAAAAAATGAGCTTCTTTTGGGTAAGAAAAAAGGTATCTTGGTTGACCACTTTCAGGAGGGGAAGAAGAAAGATGAACTATCAAACGACGTCGTTTGCGGCAACTTAGGCCTCATGTTTCAACAAGTTAGGCCCAAATACTCGAAGACTAACAAGCATTTGATTTGGTCCAATTTGGCCCATTACAGATATGGTTCTTTAGATTTGTTAAAAATAACACTTTTTATTTCTGTATTTTTGAAATTGGAAGAAAATAAAATAAAAGGTTTTTACAATAAGTAAATTAAATACTTGATGAAATGGAAAATAAGATACTTAAAAGTAAGGTTGTTTTTGGGTTGGATTAGAGACATTTGAACAACTCAACTCAATGTTTGTAGGTTGAAAATGTTGAACTCAATCCAAACCAACCCAAACAAAGTACAAGCCCAATGGGTTTGTGTTTACAAGTTTTGGTATATCATTTTACATGTTAACTAAGTGTTTATATTTAAACAAAGTAAAATCAAAATAATAACAAAAAAAAACTAACAAACTCAAAAAAGAAAGTTGAAGATTTATGCAAATAAAATACTAAAATTTTGGATATAGCTAATTACAGATTGGTCTAATGTCTTGTGACACCCCAAAATGAGGTAAATAAATAAATTAGAAAACAAAAAGAACAAGGAAAATAAAATAAAATGAGTTTTATTTTATTGGAAAAAAATATAAATATATTTGAAAATTGGATTAAAAATGAAGGAAAATGTCATATTAAGGGTGAAATGTGTAAAGATGTCAAAAGTAATAGAGCCTGGGGGCCGGATGCTATTTTATAATAGTTAAGGGTTGGGTCAGAGGTTAACAGGTCCAAACCAGAAGGACCTGTTTTGTAAATATACATCAAATCTGCAAATTCAGAAACATAAAAACGACATCTCCTTTAAAGCTTTATATCAGTTTGAATTTTCAACTATTAAGACAAAAAAAAAACAGATCTATGTAGCCAACACTTTGCTCTACACTTTTGTTTCAAGAAAACCGAACTTTCGTTGAGTTTCGAAAGAGAAATTGGAGGTTGAAGTTCGGGTTCGAAAAGCTCCGTTTATTGACGATTGGAGGTAAAATRCTCAACCAAATTTCGAGTTCTTTATATGGATGGCTTCATTTTTAGGTCCTCTATAAAACCTTAGTATCCTTATGTCTCAGATTTTAGTTTTGAATGTTCGATTTTGAGTTTTTTTACTAATTTTCGAGTGGTTTTAAGACCTTAACTTTAAACGAGCGTATGAGACTCAATACTTGATGGTTTCCGTTGATTTTTGTTTCTATGGTTGAGGAAAATCATTTTCTAGAGATTTTGCAAAAAAAATTATCGAAAACGATGAATAAACGAGGCCAAACGGCCTATTTTTTCGGCTGTCGGCGTGACCAACAATGGCTGTTGTTTGGTCGCTGGTTGTGGTTGTTGGGCCACCTTTTTTTTGGGCTTCCTCTTTTAATTTATTAATGTTGGACCGAAGCTAGCAAGTTACTTATTGGACTACATTTTAGGCTACATATTGTTGTAAGAAAAGAAGCCCATATTCTTTTTGGAGGCTTAATTTTAGTACTCAAGTTATAAGGTTTTGTTAATTTATCCAAGTTAATAAATTTCAGATTTAGTTAATTAGTTTATATTAACTAATTAATTTAATTTCTAAATTAGTTAATATATAAAATTGAATTAGTATTTAATTAATATATTAATTAATTTTTTTGAATATTAATATTAGTTAATTATTTATTTTCTAAGAACGATGCTTATATAAATCGGTAAAAAAAATTAACGATTTGAGTGTCGTAATTTGAGTAAAGTAATTATTGTGACGTTTTAATTTAGAGAGATGAGATTATAAGATATTAATATGTTTATGGGATGCCATCGAGGTTTTAGATTTGGGGTTTGACTAAAGTTAGTCGGGGTTGATAGAGTTGACCAAGGGTTGACTTTTGACACGTTTGATCCATGTGGATTTTAATGATGGGTTAAATAGAGTTGTTTGAGGCATATTAAGATGTTTAGATACGAAGTTTGACTTTAGATTGGGTCAGAATGACAATAGTTGATTTTTGTTGACTTTTTGAGAAATTAAGATGTTAATGAGATGTTATGGTATGAACTGTGTAGGCATTTGGTCAAGAGCTATCGGTAGTCAATCTATACGCAATCAGATGAGTCTTCATGAGACTTACAATGGGATGCATACCTATGTATAAATTTATTTTGGAGCATTATATGATTTATATGATAACGTGTACATATGCATGATGATTCAGTTTGCATACATGATATATCTTACATGTATGTTATTTTATGATTAGTTGGATGCTATGTGTCTATTTTGTTTTCAAATAACTCTAGCATGTTATTTCATTTGAAAGTTTTATGATCAGTTTTAGCGAGTGAGCATTTGACCAAGAAGTCACATGACAAGTGGCACACCCCGTAATGAGTGTCTAGACAAGTGCAGGTCGGACAACTCAGGGAATGCCAGTGACTAAATGACTCATACCCGACAGACAAATTATGAGATATATTTTCTTTCAGTGTTGCATGTTTTTCAAAAAATGCATACTATTTGGTACAAAGTTTACACGTTGATATGTATGATGTGAAATGATTTTTACTCACGCAAACCATGAACTCACTGAGTTTTATAAGCTGACTATAGTATGCATCTCAATGACAGAAGGTTTCAGGTTGGACAAAGAAAAAGAAAGGCATGCATAGAGACTTGTCTAGTCCATTTAAGTTCGATATTTATGTGCAATCATCTATGATATATAAATTTGTAAAGCAACCCGGTATGGGACGGGCTGACATTAAGTTATATATTTTTCTTTTAAAGTCTTCCGCTGTAAACGGTCTAAAGTTTTATTTTAGCCATTATTTTTGGAGTGCTTTTGGAGAATATGTTTTAGATTACGTAACATTTCTCATGGTTAAAATGAGGGCGTTACATGTCTAATGTACATATGTTAATCAAGGACTTGAGAATCATGTTAAATTCATAGTATAGAAATTTATCGGATTTATCACATTGGGTTAGGTTCAAATGACCTTAACCCAATTCCAACCCAATAGATGTGCTTCGATCTAATTTTGAGATCAACTATGTATCAAGTTACAAGGGTTGAGCTTCTTTGGGTTTTTTCAGGTTTGGTTGCCCTAATTGGTCGGTTTTTTGAGCACCCTACCTAATAGGTTAGTTTTTAGGGTCTAACACTACTGTATGTAGGTACTTCAAAAAAATTTGTTGGATACAATAACGGGTTTGATTGAAGAATTTAATGTTGTTTTTGGTCGATGGCTCTCAAATGTTATCCTAAGTTAGGGGTGTGCAGAAAATCAATTGATCCAATTGGAACTGACTGATCCAATTAGAACCGACCAACCATAATTAGATATCCAGTTGTAATCGGATCGGATTGAAAATTTTAACATCCAATTTGGATCGGTCGGTTCTCGGATGGCAATCCGGAACTGACCAAAACTGAACCAAACCAAACCAACCGATCAACATCCAATTACCCATTCAATTAATCATTCGATAACCATCCACTTGTTCATCCAATCATTATCCAATAATCATCTAGTTAACTTATTTTCAAATTCCTTAAATTGGAATTTGTTTTTATGTGAGACTTTGAATTTTTTTTACTATACTTGTGTTGGTTTTAACACATTAAAAGTGATTATTTAATTTGTGTCATTGTTGGAGAATTGGATTGAATCAACGCACTGGATGGATCCAATTTCATTGGATATCCGATGGATATTCAATAAAAGTATCCAATGGATGGAACCGAACCGATCCAATCATCCATTGGATTGTATTAGATTGGTTATCCAATGTTAATCAGATCGAAACATGCTTGAATGACCCAAAGGAAAATATATATCGATTATACATCCAAACAAAATCACTATCCTTGTGGGGCTATATGTTACCGACATTTACTGTTCATTTATTTTATTTTATGCTATTTTATAACTACAAACAACGTTATGAAAAATATATTTAAAAAATTGTAAACTCTGTGTTTGGTTTTAAATAGTGTGCAATAGTTGTATGGTCCTTTTGTTTATTAAGGTACATAATCTTTTACAACAATGAACCTTGTAGTACATGAGTGCAGTATAATTTCGACAACAACAGTAGATGGTTAACAATAAATTACTTCAAAAAGGCTTGTAATAAATACGTATACATAAGCTCCTATGATCTAGCCACCAAACACTAAAAAATTCAATATATTTAGTTATAAAAAAACAAATATAACAATTTTAATAGTGTTTATATAAAATATAAAAAACAATTAAAGTTATACTTATTTCATATATAATAAAATTATGTTAAATGATTGTAATAAAATATTTAATATAATTATTAATTATAATTTTTGAAAAATTACTAATTAATCATGATATGTGAGGTCGATCAATTTTACTTTTGTTCGTATTATATACAATGATTATTTAAAATCTTAAATTAATGTATATATATACACACACAACCAATCTTAATCGTCTGTGCAAATTATCAAATCAATTTTAACGATATAGATTAAATCGGTTCCGAAATCTCCTTTCAACCTTATCCGCAACTAATTTGATAACCACTCAAAACTTTCAAATACACAAAATCAAGGGTCGAGATTGCTTTGTAAGATGTGCAACATTTATATGCTTTTTATTTGATTTGTCTTCTATATATAGGGAGAGGTTCATTTGAGAAGTGACAAATATTTGAGAAGTAAGGAAGTGATCATAACCCTTCGTTCAGTTAAAAATTGCATTTTTGACTGGTCAAACAAAATATAGAGGGATAGTTTTATAACTTTTATAAATAGACGGCAAACAAGTATATATATAAATCCATAAGAGCACATGTGAACTCATAGTTCATATTTGAAACAGTTGATTAGTTCATATTTGAATCAGTTAATTAGTTCACATATAAATCACACGAGTTAATATTTGAATTTGTTAAATAGTTTATATGTGAATTACACGGGTTCACA